AGTTTTAAGCCAGCTTTCTCACTCTCTTCTTTCACCCTCACCAAGAGTCTCTTCAGTTCCTCTTCACTTTCTGCTGTTAGAGTGGTATCATCTGCATATCTGAGGTTGTTGATATTTCTCCCAGACATCTTGATTTCAGCTTGTATTTCATACAAACCAGCATTTCACATGTTGTACTCTGCATATAAGTTAAATAAGCAGGGTGATAATATATAGCCTTGACGTGTTCCTTTCCCGATTTTGAACCAGTCTGTAGTTCCATGTCCAGTTCTAACTGTTACTTCTTGACCTGTATACAGATTTCTCAGGAGACAGGTAAGGTGATCTGGTATTCCTGTCTCTTTAAGAGTTTTCCACAGTTTGTTGTGATCCATGCAGTCAAAGGCTTTCACTTAGTCAATGAAGCAGAAGTAGATGTTTTTCTGGAATTCCCTTGCTTTTTCTTTGATCCAGTGGACGTTGGCAATTTGATTTCTGGTTCCTTTTCCTTTTCTAAATCCAACTTGTACATCTGAAAGTTCTTTGTTCATGTACTGCTGAAGCCTAGCTTGAAGGATTTTGAATATTACCCTGATAGCATGTGATACCCTAATGATTAGCGATGATATCTTTGTATGCTTATTGTCCATATGTATCTCTTATTTGGAAAAATTGTCTATTCAGGTCCTTTTTTTTAATTGGAGTATAGTTGGTTTACAGTTTTGTATTGGTTTCAAGTATACAGCATAGTGGTTCAGTTATGCATACTCATATAATTTTTTCTTTTTCAGATTCTTCCCTCATATAGGTTATTATAGAATATTGAGTAGAGTTTCCTGTGCTGCACAGTAGGTTGTTGTTGGTTATCTATTTTATATATAGTTGTGTATGTATGTTAATCCCAGGATCGTAATTTATCCCTCCCCTTACATGATTCCCCATTGGTAACCATTGGTTTGTTTTTGAAATCTGTGAGATCTGTGAGTTCATTTTAGTTGCCCAGTTGTGTCCAACTCTTTGCCAACCCCATAGGCTGTAGCCCAATGCCAGGGTTCTGCAGCCCAGCAACACTGGAGTGCGTTGCCATTTCCTTATCCAGGGGATCTTCCCAACCCAGGGATTGAACCTGGGGTTCCTGCATTGCAGGCAGTTTCTTTACTTTCTGAGGCACCTGGGAAGCCCCTGAGTGATTTCATATGATATTTGTCTTTGTCTGACTTCACTTAATATGGTAATCTTTAGGTCCATGCCATGTTGTTGCTAGTAGCATCATTTTTTCTTTTTATGGCTGAGTAATATCCCATTGTATATATGTACCACGTCTTTATCCATTCTTCTGTCAATGGTTGCTTCCATGTCTTGACTTTTGTAAATAGTGCTGCAATGAACATTGCTGTGCATGTATCTTTTCGAATTGTGTTTTTCTCTGGATATATATGTGTGTGTGTGTGTGTGTGTGTGTCTGTGTGTGTCTGTGTGTGTCTGTGTGTATGGAGTAGGATTGCTGAATCATATGGTACATCTGTATTTAATTTTTTCATGAACCTCCATACTGGCCTCCATACTGGTGGTTCCAATTTATCAGTACATTTCATCAACACTGTAGGAGGGTACCCTTTCTTCCCACTCTCTCTATCATTAGTTGTTTGTAGACTTTTTAATGATGGCCATTCTGACCAGTGTGAGGAGATACTTCACTGTAGTTTTGATTGGCGTTTCTCTGATAATTAGTGATGTTGAGCATTTTTTCACGTACTTTTTGGCTATGTGTATGTCTTCTTTGAAAAAATGTCTATTTAGATCTTCTGTTCATTTTTTAATTGGGTTGTTTGTTTTTGTGACATAGAACTTCATGAGCTCTTTGTATATTTTGGAGATTAATCCCTTGTCAGTCACAAATATTTCTTCCCATTTTGTATGTTGCTTTTTCATTTTGTTTATGGTTTCCTTTGCTGTACAAAGGCTTTAATTAGTACAAAGTTTAATTAGTCCCATATTTAAAATTTTTGTTTTCATCTTCATCACTCTAGGAGGTAAATAAAAAAATACTGCTTTGATATTCTGGTTCCTGCCCAGTGGTGTGGAGAGCTGGGTCTTTTATCTCTGATTTACAGGGCTGTTCTCAGGAAGACTTTAAGCTACTTCTCTGCTGATGGGTGGGCCTGTGTTCTTGCCCTGTTGGTTGTTTGGCCTGAGGCATTCTAGCACTGTAGCCTACAGGCTGTTTGGTGAAGCTAATGTCCAGGAGGGCTCATGCCAATGAGTTCTACCCAGAACTGCTGCTGCCAGTGTCTTTGTCCCCAGAGTGAGCCACAGCCACCCCTGCCTCCGCAGGAGATCTTCTAATATTAGCAGGTAGGTCTGTCCCAGTCACTTATATGGTCACTACCTTTTTTCTCCTGTGTCCTGGTACACGCAAGAACACTTGTGCACCCTCCAAGAGTGGAGTTTGTTTCCGCCAGTCCTGTGGAATTCCTTGATCAAATCCCAGTGGCCCTCAGAGTTAGATCTTCTGGGGGATTCTCCCAGTGCCAGACCATCAGACTGGGAAGTCTGATGTTGGGCTCAGAAATTTCACTCCTGTGAAAGAACTTCTGTACTATAATTGTTTAGCAATTTGTGGGTTGCCCACCCAGCAGGAATGGGATTTGATTTTATTGTGATTGCACCCCTCCTACCATCTCCTTGACTTCTTTATCTTCGGACGTAGGATATCTTTTTTTTTTTTTTTGATAGGTTGTAATGTTTGTTTGTTTATTTGTTTGTTGTTGTTGTTGCTGGTTGTTTAGCAATTAGTTGTGATTTTGGTGTTCTCATAAAAAGGTGTGAGCTCATCTCCTTCTATTCCACCGTCTTGAGCTAATCTCATGTCAGAGTGTTCTACCTATGTTTTTCTCTAATTTTATAGTGTCTGGCCTTAAACTTAGGTCTTTGATCCACTTTGAGTTTAATTTTTGTGTGTGGTGTTAGATAATGTTCTCATTCCATTCTTTTAAATGTAGCTGTCCAATTTTCACAGCACCATTCTTTGAAGAGGCTGTCTTTTCTCCATTGTATATTCTTGCTTCCTTTGTCAAAGATATGTTGACCATAGGTGTGTGGATTTATCTCTGGGCTTTCTATCCTGTCCCACTGATCAATATTTCTGTTTTTGTGCCAGTATGATCCATACTGTCTTGATTACTGTAGCTTCATAGTATAGTCTGAAGTCAGGGAGCCTGATTCCTCCAGCTCTGTTTATTTCAAGATTGCTTTGGCTATTTGGGATCTTTTATGTTTACATACAAATTTAAAAATTTGTTGTAGTTCTCTGAAAAATGACATTGGTAATTTGATAGGGATTGTTTTTAATCTGTATATTGCCTTGGCTAGTATAGTCATTTTCACAGTTTTGATTCCTCCAGTCCAAGAACATGACATATCTATCCATCTGTCTGTGTCATCTTCAATTTCTTTCATCGTTGTCTTATAGTTTTCAGAGTACAGATTCTTTTCTGTAAGTAGATTTTCCCTGGTATTTCATTCTTTTTGATGTGATGTTAAATGTAATTGTTTCCTTAATTTCTCTTTCTGATCTTTCATTGTTGGTGTATATGAATGGAAGAGATTCTGTGTATTAATTTTGTATCCTACAACTTTACCAGATTCATGTTTGCCTTTACCACTGAGCCTTCACATTTGAAATTTTATTGTCTTAGTTGTGGACTTTTCATTTCTTCCTAGAGAAGTTCCTTTAGCATCTGTTGTAAGGTTTTTTTGGTGATGCTGAATTCTCTTAGCTTTGATTGCCTGCAAAGGTTTTGATTTCTCTGTCAAATCTGAATAATAGCCTTGCCAGGTAGAATATTCTTGGTTGGAAGTTTTTCCCTTTCATCACTTTATATATATCATACCACAAGCTTCTGGCCTGCAGTTTCTACTGAAAAATCAGCTGTATATATTTATGTTGTCTGTTGCTTTTCCCTTGTTGCTTTCAATATTTTTGTTTGTTTGTTTTTAATTTCTGTCAGTTTGATTAATATGTGTCTCAGCATGTTCTTCCTTGTGTTTATCCTGTATGGTACTCTATACTTCCTGGACTTGAGTGAGTGTTTCTTTTCTCATAGTAGAGAAGTTTTTGGCTATTATCTATTCAAATATTTTCTAAGACTCTTTCTCTTTCTTCTCCTTCTAGGACTCCTATAATGAAAATATTGGTGCTTTTAACATTGTCCCAAAGGTCTCTGAGACTGTTGTCATTTGTTTTCATTCTTTTTTCTTTATTCTGTTTCATGGCAGTGATTTCCCCCACTCTGTTTTCTAGCTCATTCATTAGTTCTTATGCCTCATTTCTTCTGCCACTGATTCCTTCTAGTGTATTTTTTTCATCCCAGTAATTGTATTATTTATCTCTGTTTGTTCTTTAAATCTTATAGCTCTTTCTTAAATATTTCTTATATCTTCTCAGTCTACCTCCATTCCTTTTCCAAGATTTTGAAACACTTTTACTATCATTACTCTGAATTCTTTTAGGTAGATCGTCTACCTCCACCTGACTTAGATGTTTTTCTGCAGTTTTATCTTGTTCCTTCATCTGGAACATACTTATCTGCCATCTCATTTTGCCTGATTTTCTTTGTTTGTGGTTTCCTTTCTGTATGCTTGCAGGACTATAGCCCTTCTTTCTTCTAGTGTCTGCTCTTTGGTGGATGAGGTTGATCCTGGGGTTTGTGCCTGCCCACTAGTGGCTGGAGCTGGGTCTTATTCTTTGGGGTAGGCAGGGTATGTCAAGGGGTGTGTGTTAGAGGTGGCTATGAGCTCAGTACAACTTTAGGCAGCTTGTCTTCAGCAGAGATCTTTCTGCTAAGAACTTTACTTTTAAATTATGAGCATGTCCTGTGTTTTTAATGTTATCATAGTTACCTTACTTTTGAGATCTGCCTACCTAGCAAGCTGATATTTTCTTGACATGAACAAAACATAAATAATCTATTTCTTTAGGTAAACTAACCCACTTTTTTTTTTCTTTTTGTTTATTCAAGGTTCTGGTGTGGGATGTATAACCGCTTTGACAAAGGGTTGCAGCCCAAGCAGAGTATGCTAGAGAGCCTCCTGGAAATTAAGAAGCAGAGATCAATGCTGGAGGCAGATGTGCACAAACTAGAAAAGGTGAAAAGTTGAATCTCAAAAAGAGAATCTCTTACACCTTCTGAGTAGTCCTAACTCACTTGGAATTGATTTGGTATTTGTGAGAAGCAACCTGCCTGGCTTGTTATCCTCTCTGCTTTCCAAGCATCCTGTGTCTATAAAGCTCTGATGCACAGCTCTTCTTCTTCTTTTTTTTTTTTTTTAACCTCCCATATTAAGTAGTAAATATCACAGTCAGCTAGTTAAGCCAGTTTGTTCCCTTTTTGGATCTGGATGGAATTAGGAGGAGGAACAAGAGAGAATTTCATGGAAATAATGGAGGTATTTGTTATCCATAAAGAAAATAAGTATAACTTCTTGGGTGTACTAAGGAGAACAATGACATTGCTATTTCCAACAAGGAAAACCTCTTAAAAAATCTGATTTCCTTCCCATGCAGATGATAAACTGTTCATTGAATGGTTCTTTTGCTTTAGAATATGATTATGTGTTGATTTCCTTTATGATACCAGCAAAACCAAAGTCACACACTTGTTTTTAATTAGAGTTGAATAAGTCTACAGGGATTTCTTTTAAAAAAAATGGAAAATGCTGAGCTACTTCTGGAATCCAGAGGTCCCTAGGGTATGTTTGAAGTAAAGGGGAGGGATACTTCTTAGAAAAGAATTCTTAGAAGGGGTGTGCTGCTTAGGAACTGGGCGTGAACCTCCTTTCCACCAGATAAGGCATAGCATTTCTGCTGCTCCCTCTAAGTAAACAAATATCCTTTTATTTTTAAAATAAATGTATTGTGGTTGCATCAGATCCTAAACTTTTGAATGTCCTCTTGAAAAGCAACAGTCAGTTACTTAGTTCCATTCAAAAAAAAAGATGAAGAAAAGGGAGTGGAAGGAAGAAAACTGAAGTATGACTTAAAATCAGGAAACAAAGGAAACAAGCAGCCCCAGGAAAGAAGCCATAGGCAGAACTGAGAAGTAAGGAACCTTTCTCCTGCCGCCTCTTTTACCTATTAGCAACCTCCTCCACAGGGTCTCCAGAGCAGGTCCTCTATTATAAACCTAGCCCTTTTACTTATTCCTGTCTAATTCCTAAGAGAATCAGATTCATTCTGTTAACAGACAGAATCATATCACTCTCTGATTCTAAAGTTAAAAAGTAAGTAAGGCTTCCTTTTAAAATAACCAATACAATATTTTAAAGAAATTATCCTCCAATTTAAAAAGAAGAAAAAGCAAAAAAGACAATAACTATTATTAACATTCCTTTTTTAATACAGAGAAAAAAAAGCAGCCCATATTATATACAGATACCCTGTTGATGTTTTTTAAAAGGCAGTACAAGTATAAAGTTATAATATGCACAATACAAAAATATACAAAATGAAATGTTGAAAAAACTCTCCCAGCCACCTATATAGTCAGTTTCTTTCTCCAAGTGTTATCACTGTATGCGTGTGTGTGTGTGTGTGTGTGTGTGTGTGTGTGTGTGTATGATTTTGTGACTTCCAGGAAAATAAGAATGGTATGCTTATCCCTAAGGCAGGAGCTCTTAACTGGAGTCCATAAACCCATAGATGTCCACAGATGACCTTTAAGGGATCTGTGAAACCCCTGAAATTATCCCTAAAAACTGTTTGTATGCCATCTCATTCACTCACTTGTGCCTGCATGTGATTTTCTGAGAAGTTTCATCCTTTTCTCCAGATTTTCAAAGGTGTCTGTGACCTCCTGAGAAAGCTAAGAATCACTGTTGTAAAATATCAGTGAAACATTGTGTTATCCCTGAAGATGAAAATATCCATTGGAGACAGCATGAAGTAGTAGACAGGTCATAGACTTTGGCATTAAGGAGAGGCGGGGTCAGATCCCAGCTCTGCCACTTCTTAAATGTGTGAATTTGGGTGAACTTACTTAAATTCTCTGAACCTCAGTTTCCTCATCTGTAAAATATAGCTAATACTTAACTAATAGGACTTTAGCATAAAATGAAATACTATAGTGGTTGGCACATGGAAGTAATCAATAAATGTTAGTGATCCTTTCCCTTGCCTCCCTGTTCTCAATAATAAAATTACATTTATCAGAAAAAGGAACTTTTATAGATACAAGACCTTTGAGGATATTTAGTGGTAGGGCTTTTAAAGCACTGTGTTAAGTGATGAATAAAAGATGTTTGAAGATGAGGAGGGGGCAAAAAGTCATTGGCTACCATATAAGTGACAGCTGACAAGATCCCTATACGTCAGTGTGATATTTGCCTAGTTTTACTCCAGTTTCTAATTCTTTTCAACCATTCCTTGCTCCCATGACAGAACTGAAAGCCCATGATGAGCCACCAGAAGATGTCTGTACATGTTCTCAATTAGGGCATTTATTATCTCAGCACTAGGAACTCCTTTGACAAATTATGTCTGCTTTATGGGTATCGATGGAGACCTGAATACCTTGATGGAGAATGGCACTCTTTCTAGAGAAGGAGGCCCTCTAGTTCAGATGGGTCAAGTAAAAAGTCAGTGTGCAGACCTCCACCATGACTATTATGGGATCATGGGCAACCTTAGGGCCATAAACATTTCTAGGGATGTGGGCTTCTCTGGAGACACAGGCATCTCTGGGGTCTTGGGCATCTCTGACAACATGGTCACCACTGAGGCTATGGGCTTCTATGAAGACACCAGCATCTCTGAGACCATGAGCTTCTCTGGGAACATGGGCATCTCTGAAGACATAGGGCTCTCTAAGGCCAGCAACAAGACAGGCTTCTCTAAGCAACAGTGAGCTATTCATCTGTTTCCATGTTAGTTACACCTACAACACCCACAATGATGCTTGTCTCAAAAAAGACTGTGCTGCTTTTCTAACTGGATTAAATGGCTGAGGCTTAAGATTCTAGAAGGGGATTTAGGGCCTTAACTAGTTAAGCAATCAGTATATGCACGTCAGGAATTCCCTGGTGGCTCAGTGGTAATGAACCCACCTACCAATGCAGGAGATGTGGGTTCAATCCCTGGATTGAGAAGATCCTCTGGAGAAGGAAGTGGCAACCCACTCCAGTATTCTTGCCTAAGAAATCCCGTGAACAAAGGAACCTGATGGGCTCCAGAACATAGGGTCGCAAGAGTCAGACATGACTTAGCAACTAAACAACAAGAACAAACAACATATGCATGTCAAGCAGCCTAGAATATAGGCAAGACAAAGAATATGTTATAGTTCTAGAATGGGATTTAACTTTAAAAATATAATATCTTGCTTTTCAGCTGAGATATTAGATTGGTTCCATTATTCCATTTCCCTTAAAGGTCAGTCTCCCTTACTTTTCCACCCTTACTATTCTAGCAGGAGAACAAGTAGAAATACTGTCACAGTGAAGAATTAAGATCCTGTTGAAGGGATGGTGTGCAAAGGTAACTGAATTGCAGAATGACTTGAAAGAAAATTTTACTTAAAGGTATATATAGTCATACAATGTAAACTCACGCTATTGCCAGTAGAGACCCCCAACATTTGCCTGAGAAATAAATCAAAATAGTACATTGGTACTTGGTGGTTTAGAACATATAAGGAAAATTTTCCCAATTCGCTCCCTAGCTAGGTCTTATAGCCAACTCCCTTTTTATAGATAGCCCATCAATAAACTTGAATCCACTACATTCTAAAATGATCAATTCAAAAGCAGTGGGGTCTGAATTAATAATTTTGATCAATAGCATTTTCAACATCAGTTCAGGAGACAACTGAAAATCTTAGTGCTTTAGACCCTGGCTTATACATGGCATATGTGCCCACCTAAGTTTTCCTAAAACAGGACTCTTCTTAGGTCTTTTTTTTTTTGGCCATACCACATGGCCTGTGGGATCTTAGTTCTCTGTGCATGGATCAAACCCATTCCCTCTGCAGTGGAATCATGGAATCTTAATCATTGTACTGACAGGGAAGTCCCTCTTCTTAGGCATTTTTATGAAGATCAGTGGTTTTACTTCCCTAGACATCACATCAGTTTGTGGATTTTTAGACATAATTGGCACTACTTTTAAAATCTGGTAGGCTTAACACCTTGTACTAATATAGACTTTTGAAAAAAGCCTGTTCTTAAGGCATGTCCAGCTACTCCAGGGGAAGGGGAAACTAAACTTTCCGCGATTTGGGGTTGATACACTTGCTGTACACTTTCCTATTGGATATACAGTCATAGTTTACCCATTTCCACATGTTGGGGTAGGATAAGCCTTGCATAGTTTGGGTCATGCAATATATTGTCAGCATTTTCAGAATTTCCTTTGGCAGTAGAATCCATATCTTCACCCAGGATGTCTATTTTGTATACCATGTGTCTGGTTTAAGCTAAAAAAAAAAAAAAACCTGAGATTCTTAGTGAAAGAGCCATCTCTGTTACTATCACATCCATTTGTAAATACAGACATCTCTAAAGGATCACCTCATTAGTTACTCTATAAGAAAGGTAGGCCTTTTAATCGAAGTGTTAGAAATAGCAGAGAAGAGGCAGCATAGTTCCTTGATTTCTTACCCCTAGCTAAAATTTGGACCAGAAAATAGTCCTATTTAGAAGAAGAACTCTAAGTCATTTTGGTTGTCTTTTTTATATGTAAATAGGAGCCATTTTTCTACTTACCTCTTCTTGGTAGCTGTTTTAATTCTGTGTTTTTAAAGAACTAGTTCATATGTGTCTTTTCCACTTATAAATAGGGACCACTTTTCTACTTACCTCTTCTTGATAGCTGCCTTCTTCCTATAATGTTAAAACATCAATGCGATTTGCTATTGTATCTTCTCTGATCCCCCTTTTTCCACTCTTTGATCTTTGACTTATGTGCTTAGTTGCTCAGTCGTATCTGACTGTTGTGACCCCATGGACTGCTGCCTGCCAGGCTCCTCTGTCCATGAGGATTCTCCAGGCAAGAATACTAGAGTGGGTTGCCATGCCCTCCTCCAGGGGACCTTCCCAACTCAGGGATCGAACCTAGGTCTCCTGCATTGCAGGCAGATTCTTTACCAACTGAGCTACCAGGGAAGCCCAGGTATCTTTGGTTTATATAACATAAACCATCAGATGTTGCCAGTTGTCATTTGACTTGTTACTTCTTGAAAAAAAATGGGATTTGTGCAAGTCATTTTGATCTGGAAGCCCCATTTAACTCTGGCTCTGTGAAGGAGGATGTCAAAGACAATGACAATAAGGAAGATGTCAAAGACAATGACAATACCAATCATCTGCCACAAGTGAGTTTATTCTCGATTTTGCTTTGTAACAAAGACTTTCTCCCACATCTCAATCTGAATTTTATAGTCCATTAACTAGCATGATATTTCCAATAGTGTGTTAAGAGTTTTCTAGAGAAAAGAAAAAGGCAAATGACTTTTGCAAATCCTATAAAAGTTAAAGTCTCATATTTATTTCTACAGATCTGTACAAGAGTGTACATAGTACCAAACTTTATTTCTTAGATCCAAAACAAAATTAATCATTAGTGACAAGTTCTTTTCAATACAATTCTAAACTGAGAAGTGGTGAAGAAAAACACAGTGTTTCCAGTCAACTTGTTTGATGTTTATTATGTTTATTCCCTAACATGTCCTATATTACTTGTATATGACATACATGGAACTAAGGAAAACCTTGCAAAAATCCCAGATTTACTCTGAACACCTAACACCTACTGTTTTACAGTTGAATTTGAAAATCTGAGGAAGGAAAAATGTTCAGTAGAATCCAAATATTTATGCACTGGTAAAAACCCAGTAGCTATCTGTAGTCAAGAGCCTAGCAATAGAGGGGAGAGTTCTGAAGGAAAGTTACTGAGTGTACTAGAAAAGATCATCTATTAATGGCTTTCATTTCATATCCTCATATAGCATCTATGCTGTTAAAGAAATGTGACTCCCTCTGCTACTGCCCTACCCTTCCAATTCCCTGAGCAGAAAATTCCATTCTAGTGTGACTGCCCCATTTAAATAGGAAGGCATTTAACCACCTGCCACTGTCTTATGCATGAACCTGACATCTGCCTGTTTCCTATACAGTTTTCACAGGTCTGGGGTCACTGCCTATCTTTTCCAAGCCTGAGGCAGTCTTTGTGCCTGGGAGTGTGGCCATTCTCAGATTTTACATGAACACCTTTTTAAAAAATTCATTAATTATTAGTTTATAGAATAATGGATCCTTCATGGTAATAAGTAAAACAATCCTAAATAACAAACCTAAGTGACAGTTAATAGTCCAAGTTTTTAAAGAAAAAATTTAAGGCTGAGGTTTGCTGTATGACAGAAAGCATGAAGATTTATTTAGCACTAATTTGGCAAGACTAGAAAGCTTATGGTACATGTATTAGGCACAGGTATCTTTCGGAAAGTCACCCTAGAAACTGTGTTCAATTACTACCAAGATAGTTGTCATGCCTGTCAACATGCATCAACATATTTTTTCTGAGACACACCTCAAACTTCACTGAAAGTAAAATCTTTCCTTGAACACTTCCAACAAGAAGGAATCAGAGTCTTTTTAAGAGATGTTTTCAAATAAAATTTGTAAATATTTAAGCTTGGCCTGAATTTAGCAGAAAGAGAAGTTTAATAACTATATCAGATTTTTGTTACATAGTGATTTTTATTAACACATAACACCTTTTCTTGATGCTATTAAGTGTTGATGTACCACTGGGAAATCTTTCTATGAGAACATTTTATAAAGTGGCTTTTTTAAAAAACAGATGTGTGGGAAAAGGTAAAGTTGTCTGAAAAGGGGAATATTATATTTTGAGATTGGTTTCTTCCTAGGAAGATTGTTCTCATTTTCTCTCTCAATCTCCAAAGTAAATGATTTAATGATGTCTGTTGTACCAAATCGTTCCCCCACCCTCAGGCCTCTCCTTCCCAGAATTCCATGTATGATACAGGCAGATATGATTATAACCAAATCTGGTTACTTTCTTCTAAGTGCCAAATCTAAACCTGACATTTTATATAGACATTTCAAAACAAAAATTAGAAATGAATTAAGCCTTAATTTTTTTTTCCTATGAGGTTACTTTTTTAATATAATGTAAAAAGATGACGATTATTAGATGAAACCAAACAGGAAAAGGGTAAGGGAAAAGATTTGGGGTAGTAAAGGACTCTTAGTTTGTTGCCCTTTTGGAGGAAGTTCTGTTTTCACAGCATTTGATGGCAGCAGTAGAAGCTTTTTCAAGGCAAAAAAAAAAAAAGGATTTTTCAAGCCGTACAGAACATGTCTTCTCTGATTCCCTGGCTATGAGACTGTCAAGTCTTCACCTTCCCCTTAAATGGGAAGTATTGATTTCATCACCAATCACAGCAGCCCATGTCTCCTTTCGATGTCAGTGCAAGTAGAAGTGTATTACATGCTCTGTGATCGTGACTTGTCTTCACAAAAGGCAAGTACTCTTTGAAAGCTATCTAATTTAGGCCCATGTGTCTTGCTGGGGCTAAAAAAGAAAATTTCAGAAGTTGGCCTGCATGAAACCAACAGCTTCTATGTTAAATCTGGTGCCCTGGTCCTTGGCATTTTCTAAAGCTTTGGGGGTTACCTAAAAGCCTCTTTCTCTTCCAAAGCTTTGTTACCTTTCAACCATTTTCATGACTTTGTACTCTGACTCTTTAGAGAGCTGTACACTAGCCCTTATAGAATACCAGTTGTGGAGAAGGTAAGAGAAAAGAAGGAGGAAAGAGAAGGTACAGAAATACATCTGGCCAGTTAATCAAAAGGAGCATATGGCAGTCCAGGATGACCAGAATGCCAATTAATTAAGATTGAATATGCTCCAGTAAG